TAATGCAAAATATTTTATACCCTTGGCCCAGGTGTGCCATTAAAAAAAGAAAAAACGTCGTGGCCCAGGCGTGCCAACGGCCCATGCATGCCAATTACTTCTGTCCATATAATTTTGAGATCGCAGGCTCGCAGGGCACCATAAACAAAATGGCCGATCAGGGATGGCAAGAAGACATTGAGCTTAAGGTTAGCACTATTTTCCATCCAGCAAACTGACCTGACGTCATTTTCGGACGATAGAAGAGGTGTTAAATGGCTATGAAACTAACCCAAACCCTACCCCTACTCTAATCCCGAACCCTAACCGCGACCTTAACTCTAACCCTAACCGAATTAATAAAAAAATCCCCCAAAAACCGACTTTAGAAAATCGATAGGGCGGTTTGCTGGATAGAAAAAAGTGCTAACCTGAGCTTAAAGACGACTTACAAAAATATGTTGAAAGTAACTTACAAAGGAAAGAAATTTTAGATTTTGTAAAGGAAAAGTATCCACTATATGCTTGGAGTCTGCGAACTTTTTGCCGTCGATTAAAACACTTTGGCATTTCATACATAGACTACAATACTAATTTGGACCATGTTGAAGAGGCCGTACGTGAGGAAATGGATGGTCCTGGCCGATTTCTGGGTTAACATGCTTTGCATAAAAAAGTATGGGAAGTACATGGCCTTAAGGTTCACGGAATCTTGTTTATGCAATGATGGAGAATGTTGACTCTTCAGGACTGGAAGAAAGAGGAGTTGGGCAACCAAAGCGACCAGTTAGAGCAGAAAGATTTATATCAATGGTATAAAATAATAGCCTCTAAAGCCCTGTTTACACTACGCTCAATTTTTGGTACGGCACGGATAAAATTGGTACCCGTACCACTTATTTGGTTCTTGGACTACCTATTTATGTAGTGCAAGAACCAAAGAGTGGTACGGTACCAAAAATTGAGCGTAGTGTAAATGGTGCTTAGCGAAATAGGTAGTCCAAGAACCAAAAGAGTGGTACGGGTACCAATTTCATCAGTGCCGTACCAAAAATTGAGCGTAGTGTAATTGCGTTTTTGGAATATTTTGCTAATTAATTTTAGTTATCTTTGTAACCTAAGAATAAAAAAGTTTTTGTAGGGTTCAGACTATACCATGTCACTTGATATATAGTCACAACAAGATGTGTGGGTATCAGAACTCCACATTCGATCTGTGCATGGTCAAGATACTTACAGTGGTAAAAAATAATGTTTTTAAGAATTTGGACCACTAATAGTGACCCGTTTTTACTTAGAATACTAGATTACCGGCAAAGGTAAGCAGCCCAAATTAATTGATTTTTAATACATGTGGTGCTGACTGTAGGATAGCAGATTGGCTTAATACTGCTTTATCCTGTGTTTAATGTAAAATTCAAAGAAAATTAAAACTAATTAGCAAAATATTCAAAAAACGCAATACTTGATTTAGAGGCTATTATTTTATACCATTTATATAAATTTTTTTGCTCTAACTGGTCGCTTTGGTTGCCCAACTCCTCCTCTTTCGTGACACTGTCTCAACATCCTGTTTTAAAGCTCAATTAAAAACATATCTTTTTACCTCAGATTTTGACTGATATATGATCAATATACATTAATATTTTAATATATTTGTAATATATGTTTGTGAATGTATACATTCTTAGTTGTAGATACTGTACTGCACTTTTGATCATTTTCATGTAAAAAGCGCATTATAAGTGATTAAATTTATTTATTTATTTATCTTTCTTCCATTCCTGAAGAGTCAACATTCTCCATCATTGCATAAACTAGATTCCGTGGAACCTTAAGGCCATGTACTTCCCGTACTTTTTTTATGCCAAGCACGGTAACCCCAGGGCTTTCAGAATTATTCTGAGTAGGTGTCTATTTTGATAAAGTAGGCGGCTGTTGGGAAGGGGTGGTCTAGGGGGTCTTAAACTAGTGTATATTGATTAGATAGCAACACAACTGAACTCTGTAGCCAAATTATAATGAATCACTCCTTTCATTCTTCAACAAGATAACTTCAAGATTTAAGATGGCAAATAACTAAATCGATTTTACGAAATAGTACGCCATTTTCGAAAATAACCAGGCTATAAAGTATAGGCCAAGTTGAGGAACAATAACTTTGTTTGAAAGCTTAGAGTTGGAGGAAGGAGAGCAGGATTGATCATTCAAGTACTAAACAAAGTAACCGGCGGTGAACCTTGTGGCACCCGCCGGCTTATTTTGAAAGCCCTGGCCGTAACCCAGCAATCGGCCAGGACCATCCATTTCCTCACGTACGGCCTCTTCAACATGGTCCAAATTAGTATTGTAGTCTATGTATGAAATGCCAAAGTGTTTTAATCGACGGCAAAAATTTCGCAGACTCCAAGCATATAGTGGATACTTTCCTTTACAAAATCTAAAATTTCTTTCTTTGTAAGTTACTTTCAACATATTTTTGTAAGTCGTCTTTAAGCTCAATGTCTTCTTGCCATCCCTGATCGGCCATTCTGTTTATGGTGCCCTGCGAGCCTGCGATCTCCAAATTATATGGACAGCAGTAATTGGCATGCATGGGCCGTTGACACGCCTGGGCCACGACGTTTTTTGTTTTGTTTTTTAATGGCACACCTGGGCCAAGGGTATAAAATATTTTGCATTAAAATACTTTATGAATAAAAAAAACAGAGTTTAGAAATAAATTTTGTTTGGAAAAAAATAAAATAAAAATATTTTAAAAAATATATATTTAAAAAAATAAAAAGATATCAAAATTTTCTATGGCACGCCTGGTCCACCATACCCATACCCATATGGACTTGACTTCCACTTTAAGTATATACATACAGTAACTTGGCTGGTGCTGGGCAGAAAAAAAGCAACATATATCCTGTATGCAGCTGGATAGCAAAAACATTCTATCCTGCACACCCCTACAAAGAACTTCAAGTAAGTAACGTAAGAGAAAATTTCTCCTTTATAGGTGTTAATAGGTGAGATATGGGCGAGCATGCCACAGTCGGTAAGTAAATGTCTACCATGAAATGTCAGAGTTAAATAATAATATCAAAGTATTTAAGTAGGAAGTAGCCTGAAAACAGACCTACGTTTCGCCCACCCTAAAATTCGCGGGTCGACGGAAAGGGCGAAACGTAGGTCTGATGAAAATGTCAAAATCGCCTTCCGCCCACTTTGCATTTTGCAATAATTAACGATGATGATTGACATATTTACATGTAAACATCCAAAAATACAATGAAGCGTGTCAATTCACTTTATTGAAAGTTTGTAAACAACGGTAAGAGTCGATAAGTACAGATGTTTGAATAAAAATTAAAAATATTGGTAACCCCATGAACAACATCCTAAATATGAGGGCCAAAATAGCATTAAGAATAGGGGCCAAAACGGCCATCGATGTGCCAAAATAGCCCTTGTGATCCGTTTTGGCCCCGGTTAGAGCCAAAACGGTACTTATGGCAAAGTGACATAATTCTTGTTTTAGATTAACATTCCAATTTTGCCCTGTACATGCATGCATGGCCAAACCAGCTATCAAACTGATAGGGGCCAAAACGGCCCTAGTGTTCTGTTTTGGCCCATGTTTGAGCCAAAACGGCCACGGTTTTAAAAAGCAAAAATGGCCCTATGGGGCCAAAATGGCCCTTCTAAAATTACTGTGATCTTAAAGGAAATTTTAGGTATATTTAAACCGATAACTGCCATTGAACAGCCCTTGAAAATCAGCACACTACGTTGGCATAATAAAATTTCTGAACCTCTTGCACACATTTTCAATTTAACTTTTCTTAGCGGTATTATTCCTGACAATCTTAAAATAGCTCTAGTTACACCAATTTTTAAATCAAATGAAATTAACCAATTCAAAAATTATCGACCCATATCTGTTTTGTCTTGCTTCTCAAAAATATTAGACTGAAAGCTTATGTATAAGTATAGACTTCAATGATTTGGATTCTTGCACTTCACTTGGTGGAATTAATATTAGAATGTTAGGGTTTGTAATCCAAGTGAGTATATATACATTTTAAGACCTAACCAGGAACGACTGCGAAAAATGCAGCACAAGGTCCTCTGGTAGGAATTGAACCTACGGCCCTGCAATTCCAGTGCAGCGCTCTAACCAACTGAGCTACAGAGGCCAGCTGTTGAGCTGTAACCGTAAGTTCATGTATATATAGGTAATTGGGTGTGCGGGTTGTGATAAGGTGGACTTGAATGATGTGGTTTTTTGCACTTCACTTGGGGGAATTAATATTAGAATGTTAGGGTTTGTAATCCAAGTGATTGTATACATTTTAAGACCTGACCAGGAACGACTGAGAAAAATGCAGCACAAGGTCCTCTGGTGGGAATTGAACCTACGGCCCTGCGATTCCGGTGCAGCGCTCTAATCAACTGACCAGAGGACATTGTGCTGCATTTTTCGCAGTCGTTCCTGATTAGGTCTTAAAATGTATATATACTCACTTGAATTACAAACCCTAACATTCTAATGTATAAGTATAGGTAATCATGCGATGGCGAGTACAATTAGGGATTAATAGTACGAGTGATGTTTGGAAATTTTGCAAAAATTGGACGAACCGCCGGGGCGAGTCCAATTTGGCAAAATTTCCAAACATCACGAGTACTATTAATCCCTAATTGTACGAGCAACATCGCATGATTACTTGTTTATTATTAGCATGACAAAACTGAATACGTACTTCTCAATGTCAACATCATATTCTCTCGCCAAAGCCCAGTCCTCAATTTCTGACAGACTTTCAATTTTGTGCTTTCGTTCGTATTTTCATTAATTTAGTTATTTTGGTTTACAAAGTTCCTCTAGGGCAATTTTATTTGTGTTTAAATACATTTCCGCGATTTTGTTTGTTTTGGGAAAACCATTAATTGTACTGCACTACAATTAGTATAGGTAATCATGCGATAGCGAGTACAACAATGCATATTCTCTCGCCAAAGCCCAGTTCTGCCAGACTTTCAACCAAAATTTGGTGTTTTTGTTTGTATTTTCATTTAGTTCTTTTGTTCAAGCAAAAATTTGGTGCTTTTGTTCGTATTTTCATCTAGTTCCTTCACAGCAATTTCATTTCATATCTGTGTTTAAAATCCCCTTCCGCCATTTTGTTTGTTTTGGGAAAATCATTAATTGTACTGCAGTACAATTAATGAAATAATTGTACTCCTCTCAACCAATCAGCGTCCAGTAATTTTGTCATGCTAATAATAAATGATGGTAATAGAACGAATATGATTGCTATTAATGCCATAATCATATGAGTGATTACAAAATCAACCACCGCGTAGCGGGAGGTTGATTTGTTAATCACAAGTATGATTATGGCATTAATAGCACGACTTAATTGTTCTATTAGTTATTAATTATTTATCTTCTGTAATCAAACTGTTTAATTAAGGGGAAAAGGCACAAAAATACAATTTGTTGAAATTCAATATAATTATTAAATTTTTGTCTCGACAATTCTTAGTGAAATAGTACAATGTTGAATTAAATTTATCATAGTCAAATTAACATATTATTAACTTCCGGGTATTATTTCCGGTATAGTCACATGACAACAGTGAAGTTCTTTAAGGCCCCGTTTACACTATACCGGATTGCTATCGGAGTGGGTCAAATTTTGTAGGTATCGAAAGGCTGTGAAGATTTTTAATCTCAGAGACCCAAATGAACATGCCAATTCTGTCAAACTAATAAGCATTTGCTACTAACCATTGCTCCGTAGCAGCAAAAGAAGATGTCGTGACCAGAGAATCCGGTATAGTGTAAACAGGGCCTAAATCTTTAGTTCAGTTTAATCTGAATCTGAGTCAAATATAACCGCTCGACGCCTTTTTCTGGCAGCTGAATTATCCGTGTTCAACGTCTGGTTTCCAATATTAAAAACACAGTTGTTGTAGGCAACATTAACCGGAGCTAGCGATGAGGAAACTGGGTTTTAGGCAGACACAAATGGGACATCGTGGTCAACACTGGAGGGAATACTACAAATCAAATCTAAAACAAATCTTCTTGGCGAAGGATAGCGTTGGATGCAGATGCAATTTGCTGTCTGAATTGAACGAGGACAATTGATGTATCGTGTTCGGTTGGTCTAGGAGCTGTGGAAGACGATACGATCGAGGGAACTGAGGTTGTTGTTCGCGAAGCTGACGCACTGTAACCTGCACTGATGATATGAGACAGTTCTCTGCGTTCTTCCTCGCTGATTACGTCGTAATTATTTAGAGATGCCTCTGATGCATGACCGGTAATTTCCTTGATCTTATAGCGTGGTTGTCCAGCAGATTTCAGCTTTTGAACAACTGTTTTTCTCGTGCTGTGATTTGACAACTTTTTCGCTGTTGAGCTCTCGAGCGACGAAGTCATTCTTGGCATTATTTTGCCAGTTGTGTTCTGGCCCATTCGTACCTTGGTATACCAAACATCGTCATTTTTTGGACGTTGGATTATTGTAAGATACAAAGGGCCTTGGTTTCGCATCGGCTGAGGGCGTTTGGAGAGCCATAACTTGAAAAGCTTTACTGGGTCTCGAGGGCCGCCATCGGTGCTCCACATAAGTTATAACTTGCTTCGTGGTTCTTTTTGCGGCCTCCGCTTCGTGTTTTGGTGGGATTTTCATTGAATACAATAGATTCCGAGCCATCGTCGTGCTTACGAAGGATGAAATCTTCCACATATGCGTCGTAGTGGTCCTGTCGTCCTCGCAAACCTATTTGCTCCGAAAGACACTTGAAATTGGCATTTCTCAACGCGACTGGCAAATGATTTCCGAGTGAACCGTTTTGCCACAGCAATTCCTGTTCGCTTTGGTTGAGCGCTTCTGCTTTGTTGGGACGTTTACCCATGCCTTGCTGTCGGAGACGTGCTGCTTTAGCGTTGAGTGTCTTCATAGACTGATGAAATATCCTTGAAAAAATGATACTTTCGCCGTAATCTTTGTCACGTAAGTAGCGATCAATTGCAGCTTGCATCACGCGAAGGCTTTCTGGCTCGTAGTCCGCTCCATTCACCTTTTTAACCTCGCCATAAAATTTGCTGAGAAGCTTATCCAATTGTTCATAAGGAAAAAGTTCAATTGGCTGACTTATTCGTCTAGCTGAACACCAATTTGACCAGACATTCATCCAGGTTTTTGTTGACCGCTCTGTGTTTACTTTCACGTTTGAGTTTTTAATCACCTCAATGTCGTTTTCGGTTAAATAGAACCTGGTTGTGTCTGGTTCGGTGTCTTCTGCTGGAAGAACAGGTTGGTTATTTTCGTCAGAAAAATATCGCTTAAAATGTCAAAATTTTTAAAATTTGTGAATTCCTGCATTTTGAATTTTTTACAGAAATAAAGAAAATAAAATTCAAAGTTTGTATCCTGAATGCTAATTGGCTAGTTGTAAATACTATACTGATTACCATTGGCTGTAGACAAGGGTGCGATTACAGCTCAGAAAAGGTGCGATTAATGCTCAAATCGCACTCCTGTAAACCAATGAAATTGCAGTATTTGCCACTGATTTGCAGAAGATAAATAATTAATGAATAATTGCACTCCTCTCATGCTAATAATAAGAGACTAAATAAATGAAATTCATTGAAAAAAATAAAATATTATCACAGAATCAATATGGCTTTAGAGAAAATAGATCCACAGAGCTTGCAATTAGTGAACTAACTAATAAAATTACTAAAGCAATTGATCAAGGAGAATACACAATCGGTATTTTTCTAGATTTGTCCAAAGTCTTTGATACTATCAATCACAAGATTCTGATTCAAAAACTGACAATATGGTGTACGCTCGTTTTGAAAACTTGTGCAAAGATCGGAAGCCGGACTGCCGAAGGCCTTTCAATACGGTTGCGGTTCACTAGTCCGAAGGTTCACTACTCCAAAACTCATACGCTGGTTTTGAATTGCAATTACGTGTTAAACTTGGCTGCTTCTCACGCAGTTATAATGTACTCATGTTTATATTAAAAAATATTTTATTGTACTCGTGTGAATGTGCGATTGATACGATCTCACTTGATAATGACTAAAACTTTTGTGCACTGAACCGAAGATATGATACAAAGTCGTCATCGTTGCGCGCAGTTATACGTACGGCATTCTTCGTATTGCACTCCGCTCGAGTGTTATTGACAAAACCATTTTATTGAGTACTCGTGTTATTTACAAAATCATTTATGGACAACAGTGGAACCATAGTTAATATGCGTAACTAACCGTAGATAACCGACTTTCGCTCTATGCTCGCAATACATTACATCGATACGTCATCAGTATGTCATCAAATGTGCTTTTCCCGACATCACCCAACATTATAAAATAATATATATATAACGCGTGCATGGAAGACTATCGTGTTGTTGTTATTTTATAAAACAATTACTTTATGGTTTCCGTGTTTGGATGGCCTGATCCAAACACTTGGGAATGTTGCTCGAGTTAAGAAAAGCGCGCAAAATCACTCGCCTGCGGCTCGTGTGTTTCGCGCGCTTTTCTTAACTCTCGCAACATTCCCAAGTGTTTGGATCAGGCCATCCAAACACGGAAACCATAAAGTAATTGTATAATATCCATGCGAGTTTATATTAACATCACGTGATGCAAAATATGGAAATCAGCAAGAGAAAGCAAACGCGAATGGATAGAATAATCTTTTAAAGACATATATGTAATACTTCCATGCTTTACAACACTAACAGCAGTCGTATCAGATTTCACAATTAAATAATTCTGTTTTGAGTACTCCTACTAAGCCAAGTGCTAAAGTACAGAAAAAAGAAGTTGATGACGAAGTGGTCGAAAAGAAATGGGATCTAGAATCGCTGTTTAAGCTAGTTGAGAGCATGAACAAGAAACTGGACAAGCTTGAATCAATCGAAGCGCATTTAAAACACGTGGATCATGATATCACCGAACTTAAACACTCGCTATCTTATATGCACGATACAACTGAAGAATTGAAGTTAAAACAAACCTCCTATGATGATATATTATTGAAAAATGAAGAAAAAATAGGCAGTCTCGAGAAGTTGGCGTCAACCCTTAAAGAAGAGCTAATTGACCTCAGGGCACGAAGCATGAGGAGTAACCTTATGTTTTACAATCTACCTGAGAATGATGAAGAAGATCCTGAAAAAGTGGTGTCAGAGGTATTGGAGAAGATCAATTCCGAATTCAAGAAGATGGAAATCGAAAGGGTGCACAGAATTGGGAAAAAAAGGTTGGGTTCGGTGCGACCTATTGTTGCGAAATTCCTCCGCTTCAAAGATAAGGAACTTATCCGGAAGAACAGCAAAAAGCTAAAAGGTACCAATATTGGAATATCCGAGCAGTATCCCAAGGAAATCGCCGAGGAAAGGAAAAAGCTATACCCAATAATGAAAGAGGCAAGACAAAACGGATCAAAAGCAGTCATGATCAGAGACAAGTTGTATATAAATGACCAGAGGTATTTTCCGACACGTTGATAGACCCGTTCAATCTGCATGTTTAAATAAACTTTAATTTTAGATATCTACAATAATATACACGATGTTTATCTGTTTTTTAATAAGTATATATACCTACTCAGCACGAACTTTAATCAAAAACCAATCTAAATGCCTATATATAATGATCAAACAATAGAAACATATATTGCTACACGTGCAACTTGCAAATTACTGATAAGTCAATTAAATGTTATATATGTGGCAACATTTTTCACACAAAAACAGGATGCACTAAGATTAGAATCAATGACCTAAAAAATGTGATATCAAATAATGATTCGTTTGCATGTCATCAATGTTTGGAATCCTGTTTTCCGTTTAATAACCTAAATAATCCTGATTTTTTACAAACTATTGAAAACTCGACATCAGAGATTGATATGGACAGAATTAATAATTTAGTATTTGATCCGTTTAAAAGTTTAAATAATGGTGAAACTGAAAACCTTGAAGAATCTGCAATTAATCCGGTAATTGAAAATTCTTATTATACCACCAATACATTTAATAACTTAATAGAAACTAAAAATATAGCTTCAAATAACTTGTCACTACTGCCGTACCAAATTTTAGTGTGCAGTGATAACCAATTTGTGCAGTGATAAAAGTAAAATGTGCAGTGATAAAATGTAAAATGTGCAGTGATAAAATTTGCTTTGATAAGTTGTTAATTAACACAAGAGAATGATTTAATTGAAATTGAAATGATGACTGCCAAATTATCGAATTAAATAATAGTATATGTTTTTTGTACGAAAATCATGAGATTCAGGCAATTTTTAGTTAATATCTGGCTTTTGGTATGTCCGGAAAAAATTTATTAATCCCAATATTCGGAAATTTTCTTAGTCATTCGGAAATTTTTGGCATAAAATGTGCAGTGATAAAAAATTCTTAAAATTAGGTATGACTACTGCACCTAAACATAAGAAGCTTAAAGAATAAAGTCGACTCTCTTCAAACTTTTCTTAATATACTGAAATTAAAATTTTCACTAATAGCGCTTACAGAAACTTGGCTTAAAGACAACATTGACATAAACTATGACATACCAGGATACAGCAGTATTTACTTAAACAGGAAAGCAGATAAATCTGGCGGTGGAATTTGCGCATTTATAAGAGATCACATTGAATTTAAAATCCGCGATGATATCAATGATATAACAACCGGGAAACACAATGTAGAATTTTTATTTATTAAAATCCTGAACCATAATAGCCCTAATGTTATAGTCGGAATTATTTATCGACCACCCAATAGCAAATATGATGAATTTGAAAAAGCTTTACGTGAAATCCTATCGAAAGTAGATAGAGAAAATAAGCCTTGCTATCTAATGGGAGATTTTAACATTGATTTACTCAAGTATGAAAACTGTTCTTTTGCAAACAGATTCTTCAACCAACTAACATCCTCTGCGTTTCTCCCCCTTATAACTAAACCAACGAGATTAACTGAACATACAGCAACCTTAATTGACAATATATTTTGCAATCAAGTTAGCTATCAACAACAAATTAGTGGAATATTATTTAACGATTTATCGGATCACCTACCAGTATTCCAAATATGTCTAGATTAAGCTAAGTAAAACTCGACCAATGCCTGATGCAGCACGAGAACCTTTGTTAATGAATTAAATAATCAAACATGGTCATGCATCTACACTATCAAAACCTGTTTCAAAAGTCCTTTCAAGGAATTTTTAACAAACATTTTCCAATAAAAGTGGTTAAATTAAAAGACAACATATGCCCTAAGAAACCATGGATAACTAATGGACTAATAAAATCCACGAAAACGAAAACTAAATTATACAGGAAATTTCTATGCAAGCCAACAGAATTTAATAGAACGAAGTATAAAATGTTCCGAAATAAATTAAACCATCTTATAAGAGTCTCCAAGAAAAGGCATTTTCAAAAACGGTTAAATGATGCCAAAGCTGATTTGAAAAGTACATGGAAAATACTAAATGAATTAATTTGCAAAAAAGGAGAGAGAAAACAGCTACCTTCTAGGTTTTCTCTAGAAGATGACAGGGAAATAAACAATCCAAACACAATTGCGAATAGATTTAATGAATTTTTTGTTAATGTAGGACCAAATTTAGCTAAGAAGTTCGATCAGAATTCTAACAATTTCACCAAGCACCTACAAGGTGACTATCAAAAATCTATGTTTCTAAAAAGCACTTCAAACAAAGAAATTGAAGAAATAATTGCCTCTATGAAATCTAAAAGCAGCTGCGGAATCGATGGAATAAGTTCCAAACTTATTAAAACATTTCCCATATTATTTCAATACCACTGTGCCATGTTTTCAATCTATCCTTCACATGTGGTATTATACCTCGTGAATTAAAAATGTCGCTAGTTACACCCATTTATAAGACTGGTGACAAAACCAAATTTACGAATTATAGACCTATCTCAGTCTTACCAAGTTTTGGAAAAATACTAGAAAAAATAATGTTTAAACGATTAACATCCTACATCACTAAACATGATATCCTCTATGACCAACAATACGGATTTCGGAATAAATACTCAACAAGACTCGCAATGATTGATCTAGTTGACAAAATATCTACTGCAATAGAAAAGGGGGAATATACTGTTGGTATCTTCTTAGATCTTTCTAGTAAAGCATTTGACACCGTAAATCATAAAATCTTATTGACTAAACTTCATCATTATGGAATTAGAGGTATATGCAATGATTGGTTTGCAAACTACTTGACTGACAGAAAACAGATAGTTAAATATAATGTAACTTACTCAACTGGAAAAACGATCAAATGTGGAGTTTCTCAAGGAACAGTTTTGGGCCCATTACTTTTTCTTTTATATATCAATGATATACATTGCTCTAGTAATCTTTCGTTTATATTGTTTGCAGATGACACCAATTTATTTCGTTCAGGAAAAGACCTGAAACAACTTGAAATAGAAATAAATCATGAACTTATACTTGTGCAAACATGGCTTAAGGATAATCAGCTCACCTTAAATATTAAAAAGACTAACTACATTATATTCAAATCATTCAGGAAAAAACATAACGCAAATCTAACCTTTAAGATTAATGATAAAATTATACAAAATGCTAAAGAAACTAAATTCCTTGGTATTATAATTGATGAACACTTAACATGGAAAAGTCATATTGATTACATAACTAAGAAATTATTAAAAGTATCTCACATTCTTTATAAAGTTCGTCACTACCTAAATAAAAAAACATCTCATTACTCTATATCATACTCTTGTTTACCCACATTTATATTACGGTAATATACTATGGGCTAGCAACTATAAAACAAGATTAAAGTCAGTATCAACGATACAGAAAAAGATTCTGAAAATAATATCATTTTTGCCTTATACTTTCTCATCTTCAACCTTTTTTCAACGCTAGAAATACTAAATATTAATAAGATAAATGCTTTTCAAGTTGGCTTGTTCACATTCGACGCAGTAAAAAATACACTACCACCTCAATTTGATGCACTTTGCATAAAAAACAATGTTATTCATTGCCATAATACAAGAGGCTCTATGAAATTACACAAACACTACAATAAAACAAACTATGGACTGTATTCCACAAAAAACAGATGCACAGTAGTGTGGAATATGTTGCCGGAATACATTAAAAATAGCGATAGTAAATACATATTTAAGTGCAATCTAAAATTATATCTTCTTTCTTCTGAAGATTATTAGTTGTACTCACAAAAAATGTAAATAAAAATAATTTATAACTTTATAAAGTTAATTTGTATTAGTGGACCTCATATATCTTGAACCTGACATTATCTGACACTATTCTCCTTGTTATATTAGTTTGTTTTTTAAATTTTTTAGGGTGGACTACTAGAAAAGCCCTGACGGGCTTGTTAATCTTCCTTCTATATGAATTGTATCTTTATATTTTATCAAAACTGTAACTGTATAATGGAAAAATAAAAAATATCTATCTAACAGCTCAAGCAATGTCGATGGCACATTAGCAGAATATATTGTATATAAACGGACACTGAATCTAGCTGCGATCAATTGTGTGCTTTCAGCGTTTCATAGATATATAAATTGAGATTGCCGACTTTCCAAAAAGGAGTAAACAAATATAAACGTAACATTAGACTTGAGTTGAAAAAGCTTTAGTAATTACTCGCTGGGGCACTATGGTGATTTCCTCGCATGCGAGCAAATCTTGTACTCTCTGCTAAAGCTCCCTATTATCTAAGTTTGTGTTTATAATTTAAGTGTTTTTGATACTCCTTAAAATTTCAAAAATTACAGAAGCAACCACATCATCAAATAATGGCAGTTTAGCTTTTACCTCATCAAGTGATGTCAGCTCACTAGCATGAGCAATAATTGTGTCAACAAGCTCCAAACTAAACCCAGTAAATAATCCAACATTTCCAACACAACTCTTTCCATAGCCATGAAGGAACTGCCTGTAATTCAATAAGTATGCCTTTAGCAAATCTTTTTGCTTAGTTGTAAGAGAAAGAGATCTTTCTTCAACAGCTTCCATGTAGTCAGGATCATTAATAACATATGGATCCAATACACCAGAATCAGCATTTTCTAACATTTCAGCAGCTGAACTCAAAACACAGTCATCACAGCTACATTTCTGTTGATGAAAATCACAGCAAGTATGCTCTGGTTTAATCCAATTTGCTACTTTGTAACCAAAGTAATCCAAAATTATTTCCCTTTTGCATTTATCTGCCACAGTTACAAGCTCTTTCATGGGGGGTGAAATGTTACGAGATGATGCTAAATCATATGAGTTGTAATATATTGTGGAAGATGCTGGAAGTCCATCTCGTCCACATCTACCAGCTTCTTGAAAATATTCCTCAATTGTACGAGGGACTCCAATATGAATAATCCTACGGATGTCATGGACGTCAACACCAATACCAAACGCCACAGTGACAAATAGTAGCCTTAACTTGGACTGACCACTTACCAGATCCTGTATAATCCTTTCCCGTTCATGTTCTGGATATTGCGCATGAAACTGTGTGAATAGTCTGTTCGCTGAATGTTTGCTAGATTGTACTGGCTCATATTGCAAAGGCCCCAACATATTGCTTGCAAACAAAAAACATTCTCCAATAACTTGCAAGTTGCCATAAACTAATGTCAGAGGGAAATCCAACCGTTTTACCTTTAATTCTGCAATAAGAGGAGTTAATATAGGTTGAAGCTTATCATCCCCTCTATCAGGTCTTGGCAATGAGCTGAAGAAGATATTAGGACGATCAGGGCTTATCTCAATATGTTTTGGATCGATCAATCCTAGACTGGTTGTAATATCCTTTTTCATCTGCAACGTGGCAGTTACTGTCATTGCCAAAAATGGGATCTTGGAAAAAATACTTGTCAGCATACCAATTTTCGCATAACAAGGTCTAAAACTTTTCCTAAACAAGAAAAAGATATGTTCAGTAATGGTTAATAAGTCCAGCTGCAATGCACAATCATCATGCTTCCTACTCTTTTACCCATTGAGTCTGTGGAGTCTCTCCAAGGGTGCCCTGCTGGCTCCAGTGCTCTAGAGACCTATGCTCGCCGGAAAGTCAGAGGGAGACAGCTTAATATTAATTTCTTGACTCTAACTTGACATACCCTCGATCAATAAAACTATAGGAAAAGTGAACTTTGAAACTTGCTATATAATAATTATAGTTCAGGCTCAATCTGAATGTTTTTTTACATGTTTTGCACCTCAACCATATTATAATTTAAAACTCAGTATTATATTAAAATAAAATTCTTACCATTCTTCCACTAGATGTGCTTCGTCAATCACAATAGCTTTAACAGAGTCTTGATATGACTTTGACTTCAAAATATTTTGAAACATTTTCTTATCTTCCAATAAGGCTTCTGGGTGAGCAAATATTATCTGATTTGGATGAGCAATTTGATGATAAATTGAACCCCTCTCCGACCGCATGCTGTGCTTTGGTGACGTTGCTTCCCTGCTGGCCTTCAAAACACTAACATCCATGTGCTTTTTCAGTTTAGTAATCTGATCAACCATTAAGGCGTTTAATGGCGAAATAACAATTACTGAGTTACCAGTAGAATTCGTATTTTCACGACCCAAGTAGGCATCAAACACGAATGGAAGAAGCTGGTATATGAGTGACTTTCCATAACCAGCAGGCAAGACGCAAAATATGTCCTTCCGACCAACAACTACAGCCTTCACTGCTTCGTACTGACATTCCTTTAGCTCAATATTTTGCTTACCTAGTCGCTCGAACGCTTTTTCCAATCCGCTATGAAATAAATTAATACTTTCTGCAGACATTTTTAATTTTTTATATTTCAAAACCAAAACAATACTAAACCTTTACAAAACCAGAGAATACAAAACAATACTGTCTGACACACGCATGCGCAGTTCGGTCTTAGCCAGGATTCTTGGCTTCCGGCAACGGATTATCCCAGAGCCTTCGGTTCCTTCCCAAGGACCGCAGGCTCAGGGAACGAGATTGTGGAGATCCATGATCCGTGAAAAATGCAAGCCGAAACCTATACTCGTCCGGGGCACAGTGTGAATCCCATCCGCGTTTTCTTTGCTCCCGTCACCCTTTCACGGCCCAGCAAATCACCACAAAGTGGAAGCTTGATTCCCTTTATCTGGCTCGTTCTCTGGTTTGAAAACGTCCATTAGAAAGTTCTCCACATATTCTAAATATTGGCAAACGTCTGAATGCTTCGTCTGATTGTACGGGACGATTGGCATACCTACTATACCGTCGATTGCAACTAAGCGGAAACATGTCATGAGAAAATGCGTCCAATTGGCTGTCAAACATGATTTGTTTGGATTTCAAACATCGCATGATTTTACTGCAAACATTTACGTTTCAACTGTCAACTGTCAATATTCCAAATTTAGAAACACATTCATATTGGGCGGGGATTAGCTTGCAAACACTAAATCCGTGATTAAATTCGTCTGAATTAATTAAATTGGACGTGTGAAACAGGCGTTAGTGAAGTTCTAACATACTGTAAATTTGCGAGTTTTGCGTTTATAGTGGACAAATGAATATTGTTTGCAATGTTTGTACTAACTTTGTTACGTTTTCGCGGGAAAAATAATTATAAACCGTCAAATGTTTGCAACAAAATCATGTAAAGTTTGAAGTTCAAACATGTTATGTTTCATGTCCAATTAGAGCGCGTTTTCGCATGACGTGTTTCCGCTTAGTTGCAATCGACGGTACATGACTTCTTTGACATTTCCTTTGAGTACCTTTTTGATGAAATGAGTGAGGAAAAACAGGAATCAATAAAAGTTGCTGGTAAAATTCAGAAAACGCACATATCACGTAATAAAAAGCTCCACCGAATAAATAAATGTGTTTTTAATTATAATTATGTAATTATAATTATATAATTATAATCCCGATACTTCAAACAACGTAATGAAAAAAAAAAAAAACTCGCAGCATATCAAATCACCCACCATATTACTATATCCCTATTAATACTCGTTTTCGTTGCAGTTTAAATTTAAAACCACATGCACATACGCGCATATCCGCTTGTGATTTATTGGAACAGACCGTATGAGCAATTTTCATCTTGCTGGTTTGCTTGTGAAAAGTTTTAATTCATTATTGTACCGAAAACCGCGGTCAAACTGACTCCATCAAATGAAATTAAAGTATCTTTTACAGTAAACAAGAATTTCTGTGATCAATTAAAGTTCCGTGAAATGAAATGAAAAATATTTCTGACTTACGAAATGAATTACGAAATGAGCGCAATAGAGATATAATTAAATATATATAATTAAAGCAAGTATGGGGTAATAGCCGCAAATATCTGGCTGGTCACGTAACCAGATCAAATTTTAATTGATGCTCAAGATTCCTTTAAAAGAAAATATTTGCAATGAAACCACAAGGAATACGTAAATAAATCATTTGGTACTGAGCATGCCAAGTTTCGTCACATTTAGCATCAGCAAATTACATTGAGTTTTTTATCTCAAATATGGGGTTCGGGTACCTAAATTTGGTTTGCTGGTGGTTAATGTTGTTCGTTCTTAATAGAACTAATTATCTACAACGCAAGAACGTTTCTTTAAATGTTTCTTGTGGTTTAGGCAAAAATTTTTGCTTTTGGGCATAAATAAAAATTAATTTTAGTCACGTGACGAGTAACACAATTGCTGGTTATTTAAAATCAATGTGGTGCTGGAAATCAAAATTTCTAAATTTTTACTCAAAACACCATATTGCACCTGTTTTCCTGTCACCTCAACATAAAAGATGTCTATATCACATTCTGGGGCCGGTTGCATAAAACTCTTAATCACTATTTTGTAGTTAAATAGTGATTAACTTTCAAACAGGCGCTTCTTATTGGATGACGTTTCCACTTAATTATATTTAACTTTAATCACTTTTTTATGCAACCGGCCCCAGAAGGGTAAGGAACGTGAGGCTCTGGGATAATCCGTTGCCGGAAGCCAGGAATCCTGGCTAAGATAAGCTAAGATTGAACTGTGCATTTCATATCAACGGCCAATCAGATTCCTCCCCTGAAGCGGATTATCCCAGAGCCTCACGTTCCTTCCCGAGGATCGCAGGTTTGGGGAACGAGATTGGGTAACAGTTCTATATGAGTTACCTGGGCGGTATATTCTCAACGACCACACTCTTTAATGGTCTCATACATGGGAAGAATTCCACCAATATCCTCATGACAAGAGTGCAAAAGTTTGACTTTACTGTCTGAAGTTCCATTTCGGTCAATAAGTATTCCTTGTTATTGAACAACTTGATATCACTAACTAGCGGTTTGGTATCGTCCAAATGATCGGAAGGGAACCTATCAAATGTCATGAATTGTCCAATCCAATGAATATCTGAATTGCGATGGTTAGGTAAGATTATGTTTGCTAGTATTTTTTAAATCAAAGTTGTCAAACACCATTCGTGGTTTCCCTTCAGTCTTCACTAACTGCTTCATTTAATTTATCAAATCTCCCCCAACGTCATCCATTAGATTTCTGAAACTCTCTCTACTCTGGGTAACTCTGTGCTTCGCAAGTCTCTGGAAAGTCTGTAAATGTAAGATAATACTTAAAAGCCTATTGTAAAAGCTACTGTGCTCGTTACATTCAGCGAACAATGTTTAAACCCTTCTATTTCACAATTGTAAGAAACTTAGCAACCGAAAAGTAATTGATAAGTTAATTATCACCGAAATAATAGTCCTTTCCAGGTCAAAATTCTAATTAAACTTATAGGCGCAAAACATAATTGACGTGCATATGTATAGTTGTGTATTGCAAAATTCTACAGATAATGACAAGATAGAAAGGAACATAAACACATCGATGTTTTCAGGTTGTGATTAGGAGATGGGGGCAAAACAGGATAGGAAAGAATAATTTTCCTGGGTTTTTTTTGTAATTATTCTAAATAACGTTTCAGTTATCAGATTCGTCGTGACAGTTACATTTGGCGTTGCTTATATATTATATTAGAGACCTTACGATTTTAGGACGGCAACCGCGACGGCGACGGCCAAAACAAACTCCTTCAAATAAATTGTAGTCGATAGTTCGTCGTATATTATCAATCGTATGAATTTAATACAGTCTTAGAAGTTGAAGACATGGGTTTTATGGTTGGGAAGAGTTCTGCTAAACCCAGTCTGAAGTTGCACTTGTTGTGGCTTGGAATGCAGCCGTTGTATCAACACGTGAAAATCTGTGATTTGGCGTTGTAAACAAAGCGACGACAACGTCTAAATTATTCATTTATTGTAATTACTCAATTCTTTTCAATGATCTATTATATTGGTAGCCGTTGCCGTCGCGTTGCCGTCCTAAAATCGTAAGGTCTCTATTGTTTGAATGTGTGCGAAATTAAAACTGCGCGAAAGTGTCGCATTGAGGGTGCGCCAATTTAAATTGCGCCAATTTGAGACGACGAAAATTTGAACGAATGAAAATTTCCTACGCAAAAGCTGCAAAATCACATCTAGATTTAAAAAACCCCTCTAAAACACCTATAAAAACTGCAAAGGATAAATTGTCGCTTGCTACTAATGCAAAGGAAGATACCCCAAATTCTGAGGGATTAATACACTCCAATGTGCCCGACGGCTTTATTGGAGTTGAACGTAAACGAAAGAAATACAAGAAATTTTTTTATCTGGTATTGCTGAAGGCGTGAAAGAAAGCCAGATATACTCGTATCTCGTTGAAAGAAATATAACCCCTACCATGGTGTCTACTTTCCAAAGTAAACGTAAAGGAACAATGTGTGCTAAAATACATATCTCATTAACCACAAGTTCGGTCGTACTAGAAAAAAACTTTTGGCCAGAGTTTGTATACTGTAAGCCATGGCAACAAAAAGAGACAAAATACATTGCAGAAAAACAAAGAGACCCTAGTGGGAAACTATATATCTCTAGTATAATGGAGAATGTAATTCCAGTACGTATCTCGTCTAGAAGATGTAAAACGTCTAGACAAAGACCACTCTACTCTTACAGAAATCTAAGTCGTGTAAATGTTACTAGACAAAGACCCAGGAAACCAAAACAAATTCCACAGTGTTTGGTGTTAAATCAATAGTGAAGCCTGATGCCTACCCAGCGTTATATGCGGAACTCAAGAGCAACAATATTGATGTTTGCTGTATTTCAGAAACATGGCTAAATACAACTATAGCCAGCTCTCTAATTTGCCCACCTGAGTTCTGCATCATCAGAAAAGATAGATTAGGTGCCCGTGGTGGTGGAGTGGCAATCCTTTGTAGAAAAGATTGGAGAATGCAAAAAATACCAAATATGAATAACCCGTTTGAATGCCTATGGGTAAAAATTACAACTGAAAACTCCAGTTTTAATGTTGCAGCTGTATACCATCCTCCCGACCATAATTATAATGCAGACGATTTAATAGAATTCCTAATGGACTCATGCGAGCAGTTATTATCGGAAAACCCTAATACGAAGATAATTATTACTGGAGATATAAACAGATTGAATATTCGCGACCTACTTAATCAATTATCTTTTGCACAGTTGGTTAGATCATCTACAAGAGGTAACAATATCTTAGATGTTTTTGTCACAAATGCTCCTCACTACTGGAAGGAAATAAAAGTTAAGAAAAGTTTGGTAAGAACTGATCATAATATGATTATTGCATACTCGAGAAACATTATAAAAGCAAAAAGAACAAATTCATTCTTTAGGGATGTGAGAGAACATAGAAAATTAAACATGCTAAGAGAACTAGAGAATGTGGACTGGTCCAAGATAACAATATATGACCAAGCCCCTGATGAAATGGTTAAACAACTTTATGAAAGTCTCTGGCCGAGATTTGAGAACAATTTTCCACTGATAAAAGTCCGAACCTCGTCACGCGATCCACCATTTATGTCCCCTCTCGTAAAGTATTTGTTGAAAAAAAGGAAGAAAGCTATAGGCGTAGGTGATGAAGAATCTACTTTTCGTTTACAAAATCAAATTAACACACTAATTCGCGCCAATCAACTTAATGCTGTTCAAAATGAGAACCAAAATCATAAAACTGGAACAAAGAAATGGTGGAATAATGTTAATAACATTACTGGCAGGAAAGAGAAAAATTCTGCACCTGTTAGCTCTCTGATTGATCCGAATGTTATAAATGCCTACTTTCAAACTATTAACACTGACCCTAATTATTCAGCCCCTCAGTTACTAGAAATTCCAGAGGGAACTAGAATTCCGTTTCTTTCTGTCGATATTGTCTATAACTTTCTAAGAAAACAGAAGCGTTCATCATCTGGCCCGGACGATCTACCACATTGGTTCTGGAAGACATTCGCAGCTGAATTAGCTCCAGCTATAACAAAAATATTTAACGTATCTCTGAAAGTTGGAAAAGTCCCTGAAATATGGAAGAGAGCGAATATAGTTCCAATACCAAAAGAAAATGTTATCAACTCAAGTTCTGAACTGAGACCTATCTCACTAACAGACATCATAATGAGGTTATTTGAGAGATGTATATACAAAAATGAGATCGCAGATGTTATATATCACTCAATCGATTCTGACCAATACGCATATAAAGTGGGACATAACTCAACGATGGCTTTAGTTAAATGTCAACATACGTGGTTGAAAGGGTTGGATAATGGTGTGAAATATGTGAGAGTACTATCATTTGACTTTAGCAAGGCTTTTGACAGCGTTCCACACGACATACTATTTGGAAAAGTTAAGAAATTGCCTTTTAACCCGTACATCATAAATTGGATGATAGATTTCTTAAAAGATCGCAAACAGAGAGTAACAGTTGATGGCATCACAACCGAGTTCTTGAAAATTAATCGTGGCGTGCCTCAGGGGACTGTTCTAGGCCCGATACTATTTTCAATAATGGTAAATGACATTAAACCAGTCAATCCAATCAATGAACTCTGTAAATTCGCTGATGATATAACAATAGAAGCCCCGGGCTATGATGAGGATGATACAGGTGCTGAAGAGGTAGAAAATATGAAATTATGGTCGGATGAAAATCGAATGGTGCTGAATATGAATAAAACATACGAAATGATTGTTCGTGGGAGAACATCTATACCTCTACCCAGTTGCATTCCGTCCATCAAACGGAAAACATGGCTCAAGATACTTGGAATTACCCTTGAGGAAATACCGGAAAATTGGGACATACATTCGAAGAGATGCTTAAAAAAGCGAGTGGTCGAATGTACATTTTACGGGTGTGTAAATATTATGGTTTTACAACAAAGCAGTTAGAACTTCTCTTTCAGAGTTTAATAATGTCATTATTCACTTTCGGAACTGAACTTTGGGGAGGAGCATCTTACACTAAATACATTAGTCAGATTGATAAGTTTATAAATCGTGCATACCGTAATGGGTATGTAACAGAGAAATCTAATTTTAGAGAAATAATTAATAAGAGAGACAAGAGATTATGGAAAAAAATATTAGATGATGAAAATAATGCACTAAGAGAACTTTTACCAAATAAATTAAATCGAACGTTAAGGCAAAGGGGACATGACTTTGAGCTGCCCTTAGTAAGAACTGAAAGATTTAAAAAATCTTTTGTAAATAGATGTCTTTTCAATTTTATCTAGTATATGATACATTTTAATAATTTTTAACAATATTGTAGAATTTTACTAGTTTTATTAAATTATTGATGTAAATAATTAATGTAAAATAGACTATATTCTTATAATTCCATGTAAACTCGGACATGTGTTCCAAGTATTGATTAATAAAGACTATTATTATTATTATTATTATTATTATTATTAAAATAGTGCCACGCGAATGTAAATACGTCAAGTAAGGTTATATTCGCCATAAAGTTGTCCTTCAGTAACATATTAAAATAATTGTATTTTGGAAAATAGTTATTCACACTGTATATATATAACACCTATCCTAACCACATCTCTGTCTCTGATAATTTCGTTGACGACGAAAGACACGAAAGCTTAGATATCTAATAGATGAATAATACAGACCTTTTCTTAAAGTGTTTTAATTTAAAAGTCTATTTCCAACGATCTAGAGACTCAAACTTTTCAAAACTTTCCCTGCTCAGCGCCGACCATGGTAGCGCCTCGTGAGACTGTAGGAGTCGTGCACACTAAGTCAAGATTCCCACCCCCTGTGTGACCCAGTTGTGGTATCTACATACCATGCAAGTACACTTAACTGATCAGATTTGGTCTATCAAAGCACAATATAAATGTATATCCAAAAATCTGTTTCAGAAAATGCTCACATTTCAGTCCTAGGGGTGGAAAAATACAAAATATTTTCTGAGGAACAATACTCCCAGACCCCCTACTAGTACATACAATACCACACCAAGCTTTTTGTCACCATATTTAATATTTCAATCCACACTGGCGGGCTCAGAAAAGTTTCTACTTTTATGAGGGGGAGGCACAGAACGTCCCTATTTAATAGGTAATCCCTATTTTCCCCATTTACCAAACCCCCCATAATGACCACTCCCTTATCACGATTCAGTACGATATGGTGTGAAGTGGAAAACAAGGCGTTAAACCAGTCAGGCCCGTTCACCGAACCTGCCCGTAGGCTAGTTGTAATATGTTGCTACATAAACACGCGATGCGCACAATTAAAATCTTCCGATAAGCAATCTTGTGAATGTATTGTTGTAGCGCGTTTGGGAACTCCAGTTAAATAAACACCTGAATTAATTGAAGAATCACTTGTCATTATTATATTTGGTGGCGTTGCCAAGACCTTTTTTGAGGGGGGAGGGGGGCGAAGTAAACGCCCAAGGCGTGAAAGTGATTAGGGTCCGGGGGCATGCTTCACCTGAAAATGCGATTATGTAAGGATTTTGGGGGTGAGATTATGCAGAAATCCGAAGATTATACATCGGAAATTGTATATCGTACTCCCCCCCCCCCAATATATGTCTGCCCGGATTTTAGCTTTGGTCATTGGGGGGAGCACACCCCCCCCCCTTGCCCCTCATGGCTACACCACTTATTGTATTATATAAAGCTCTTAGGAAAGAAACTGCAATCCATACCTTTTTTGTGGCATGTCCTGCTCCGATGACAACCGTGTTTAGTTTCTGAACTATAGACAACTCCCTGTTACGTGTATGCATCAATATTCCAAATGCAGTACATAATGGAGCCACTTGTGAACTGTCATTTTTTATACGAGGTACCGCTATTGCCATTAAAATATTCAGTACTTCGGGCACTCGTTTCTTCATTTCACGTAGAACAGTAATCCATTTAAACTCAGCAAGGTTTCTCTGTTGCTCCCGCGAAACACGTAATACAGAAGGCGATTTAGTTATCACGCAAAGTTTTTTTTGCATTCTCGCTGATGTCGTCGAGGAGCAAAACAATCACACATTTCTTTAACTCGGGAATTTCCATCATAGTCCTAGCCAAGTACGTAGGAGATCCTTTTACAATTTCAGTCATCCATCAGTTTGTTTTTTTTTGCGATGAATTAAGAGTGGAAGTTACATTGGCATCATTCTGTGGGAAAAATATCAAATTTCATGCGTGAACAAAGGAATATGACATGAAAATAAAGTGAAAATTAATACGTTCATTAAATATGTTATCTGTGATGAAAAATGTAATCGATTTGATTTCTAATTGAATAGAAATGCTTTCGTTACCTTGAGTGCTTGCAATCCACAAGTAGATAAAAGAGAAACCTCTTCGGTAACCTCTTCTGAGTCTACTGACTTTAGCCTGCTCGCAGTGGTTTGACTAGTTTTTGGATACGACGCTGGTAAAGTTTTCTGTTGATCTGAATTTGAATCTGGCTGTGAGGGAATTAACTGAACGGAACTACTGCATTGCGATTGAGTGCATAAAGGCTTTTGGGGCGATTGACTGAAACATTCCGGATAACGAACGCGCCGCGCGATGTTCGGATACTCTGGACCGCTTGGGCACGTTAAGAGAAGCAACTTGGGAGGAAGTTTTTGGACTTTCACAGTCTTTTCTGCCCGTTTTCATTCTTGCGCTTTCTAATTCTTCTTTTTGCTTTTTCATCGTCTCTGTACAAAGACTCTTAAATTCGTCTATTTTCTTTCTTAATGCACTGATCCTCATTGCGCAAGAGCGGCAAACCCATTTAGAAAAATTATCATTTTTCAGAAATGTCTAATTGCGCAAAGCGAACAATCATTTTGACCAGACCTTCCTCTTTAGATTTGTCACCATAGAGAGGAACACGACATAAATTCAAAATTTTGTCAGACACAGATTTCTTTGGAGTACACGACGCCATGATATTTGCTTTTAATTTAAAACTCGGGTAGATGCGTGCAAAAACTGAATTGCATTGCGCGGTGCAATATGTTAAACACAGTGCGGTAACAAGGTTGATTGACAGTAATTTAGCTAATTCCTTCATGTTATCGCCCAATATTTGTTTATATAATCGGTCTCACCTACATTATAAAATTTCTTTTTGCGGTTATTGTTTATAAAAACGGCATACTTCGAAACCCGGACTCGGACTAGGACCCGGACTCGGACTCGAAGAAAATCCGGACTCGAGAAAAACCCGGACCCTGACTCGAAGAAAATCCGGACTCGTGTTTAACAAAACCCGGACTTGACTTTTGAAAACCCGGACTCAAAATAGTGTACAAAACCGGATTCAAAACAAGGACTCTGTGTACGAGAATGCAAAGGTTTTATCGGTAATAACTCACGGATAAATGGATTTGTGCTCTTGCGCGGGTGCCCCTCTCTCTTCTCTCTTTCTGTACTGATAGATAGAATACTTTATTTCAAAAGATGTAGATATTTTTCTTCTTCTAGTGACTCAGTGTTATGCGTTATCTGAGGATACTAATCAGTTATCATACTATACCGTATGGTTCCTAACAAAATAATCACTATATAGCCTACCTAAACAAATCATTTAGGCATGTAAACACCAAAATGTATTTATACATATTTAATTACTTACCTACTTAATTTAAAAATTTATTTAACCACGCTGACCATACACAACATATTTGTAAAATTTGTAAAATACATACTCCTGCGAGTAGCTAAATTTACCCTAGACAAAAATTAATAACTAAAATCTGTCTCAGCGCTAGGAATGTCTTGTCTATAAACCACTCGTTACACGATTGCTGCCATCATAGCAGACTCAACGTGATCGATAGCGGCAAGGGTAAAAATCGTAAATTATATCCTCGGAACATATTCGACCACACCATCGGCAAAATGACACGAAAAATAACTAGACTTCAACCCATCAAAAGTAACTTCAACCAATCAAAAAGAACGCCGGAAAAGCACATCCCATGTTGAAGGCAATGAAGGTGTCGCGGCAACCGCGCCTAAAATGCTAAATACCAACTGTGAAGTAATTCGAGCGTTGTGCGGATGGACATAAATTTGATATTATATCATGCTCTCAAATATTTGGGCAAGACGCCACTGGAAACAAGTTTATTTTCTCAATTTCGTTAAGATAAAGTCCATAAACACGAATTGAACACCCGCATTTATTCTTTATGAAAAATAGTAGAAAACACAACACAATGAAAGCCGCAGCCGCGGCCGACAGTGAAATTCGCGTTGGATGGTTGGCGTAAATTTGATATTGAGACTCTCTCGTTTGGCAATGCGTTCATGATCATCAATTGCCCCATATGCCTTGTATACAACCGCGGCTCGATACTGACAATGAAGTTTGACAATAAATCAAGTTTACGTTATTTTGAGAATCAACAATCAACATGCTACCCTCGTACTAGCTACTTGTACATCGTATGCATCAATACATTTTAGTTTTTAATAACTTATAAGTGCTTAAATTATTTGGTTCCTGTATATCTAAGTGATTATTTTGTTAACAGCAGAATATTAAAAATATCGAGATAAAGATATAAAAGAGATCATCGTTTATCATGTTACTAATTATTTTAAAACCTTTCCAAAAAACCTTTGCATTTTCGTACACAGAGTCCTTGTTTTGAATCCGGTTTTGTCTATTTCGAGTCCGGGTTTTCAAAAGTCAAGTCCGGGTTTTCTTAAACACGAGTCCGTATTTTTTTCGAGTCCGGGTCCGGGTTTTTCGCGAGTCCGGATTTTCTTCGAGTCCGAGTCCGGTCCGGGTTTCGAAGTATGCCTATAAAAACCACACACAAACGGCATCGACTATTTCGTTGACCTCAGAATGACATTTCGTCAAAACTTTTTTAATTTCTTCAAGATTGGTTTAGAAACAAACTTGGAGTAGGGTTAAATTAGTGTTAGGATACGGGTTAGAATTGGTGTTTGGAGTAAGGTTAGTGTTTAGTAAAAACGTTGCTTTGTTGCGTTTTGTCATTCTGAAGCCACCGAAATAATCTCTTCCCACACAAACGTTGTGTATTGAAGATAAGATAACTAAAGGAAAATGTCGGACAAGAGGGCATCATTTACACCAACTGAAATATTTTAATTTGAAGAATTTGGCAAACAAGTATTACAAAAATATACAATTTTCCCAATAAATCTCTGTCATATGGATGGCATAGGCGTAATCACGGGGTGCATTGGGGGGAGGGGGCGCAAAACCCCCTCCCCCAATCTGCCTTATGACCACGTTTGGGAGATTCTCAATTCCGTTGAAAAAATGTAGGGGGCGGTAAAGTGTGCCACACATAACGTCTGACTTATACGATAATTTTGTCACAATTTTAGCAATACATAAAAGGATGAACATTTTAATGCCACAAATGCTACATATATAAGCAAACACATTTTAATATTTCTACAAAAAACGACATAAGAAAAGTCAAGGTTAGACCATTAAAACAATCGTCTCTACAAGGCCTATTCAAGGCCATTAAAACAATCGTCTCTACCTAAAACACTATGACTGGTTACCAGTTCTTTCTGAAAATAACGTAGATAAGAAGGTCGATAGTTTTTTGGAAATAACCCATAACATTATTGACTTTTATTTTCCGACAAAGATAATTAAAGCACATGATGAAGACAAACCCTTCATAACTGGAAAAATTAAAAGTTTGATTAGTAAGCGAAACAAAGCCTACAAGAGCGGTAAATACATTCTCTCCAAGACCATTCGAAACCAAATTGTATCGGAGATTCGCGTGAGCAAAAGAAAATTTTATGAAGAAAAAATCCTCCCAACTTATCGACAAAATCCTAAAATATGGTGGAAAAACATAAACGATATCGTTGGAAAGAAGAGAAATACCTCACCAACGCTTCTTGATCCCATCTCCGAACTACCAATGAATAATAAGCAAACGGCTGATCACATAAATTCATTCTTCTCAAGTCTTACAAACGACTTCTCGGAAGTACGGGGAGATTGGCTATCACGGGGTGAACTAGATCCCCTCCCAACAATTACTGATGAAAATGTTGCCAAAAGACTGAGTGATCTTACCGTCGGGAAGGCAGCCGGTCCATACGACCCATACATGAAATTGATCAAGATGTTCGCGAAATATTTTGCTATCCCTTTGGCCGATATATACAACGAATCATTCATGTCAAGAATATTTCCCCAAATTTGGAAATTTTACACAGTCTGCGCGATTCCGAAGATTACGCCTTGTTCGAATGTTGAAGACCTGCGTCCAATCTCTCTCACTAGCGTCCTATCCAAGGTTCAAGAGTCGTATGTTGTTGAGTAGGTACGTGAAGATATAAAAGGAAAAGTGAGCGAAGCTCAATTTGGAGGACTGCCAGGTTCTTCGGCAGTCTTAGCACTTGTCTGTCTTGCACACAACTGGTATTCGGCTATGGAGAACCATGGGAATGTGGTGAGAATAATCTTCCTGGATTTTCGAAAAGCGTTCGACCTAATTGACCACAATAAGTTACTCCAGAACTTCGAGAAAATAGGTGTTAGACCAACATTGCTAGCTTGGCTCGGGTCATACCTCCAAGGCAGATCACAAGTTACAAAAGTCGGAAACACTTTTTCCGACCCTGCATATATTAAAGGTGGGGTGCCACAAGGTACTAAAATCGGTCCCTTAGCCTTCATAGTTCATATAAACGATCTCCCATCAGTGGTTCAGTCATCTAATGATGAGAACAGTGATACTGTTTCAATGTTTATGGATGACACTACCATGTCTGAAGTTTTAAACGTTTCCAATCATATCTCTGGAGAATCGATCGGCAACTCCCAACGTAATTTGGAGAGTGTATTACAATTTACGAACGACGAAAATATGCAACTGAATTTTAAAAAATGCAAAGAAATGCACATCGACTTTCGTAAGAATAAAACGGTTATATCCCCAACTACATTAGGGGAGCAGTTTCTCACTAAAGTAAGATCTTACAAGCTACTGGGTATCTGGTTCGACGATGACCTTAAATGGAAAACAAACACTGAGTACATCACAAAAAAGGTAGCTACGAAACTATACTTTATGAAGATTCTAAAGAGTTATAATGCGCCAAAAGAAGCTCTGAAGACTTTCTACGTAGCAGTAGTGAGATCAGTTTTGGAATATGGCGCCCAGGTTTGGAACGGCGGGTTGACAATGGAGCAAAGCGAAGATATCGAGCGAATCCAGAAAAGAGCGTTAAGGATAATTTATCCGGAACTAAAATACCATGAAGCACTAATGGAATCGAACCTCCAAACGCTAACCAACCGACGCGATGACATGTGTGTCCAACTTATTAAGGACATGTCAAACCCGAATCATAAACTTAACCACCTTTTACCAAAGAAAACTTCCCAAATAAAGCAACGAGAAACGAGAATGAATGAGGCAACGTACTATAACTTTGCATTTAAAACAGAACGTTTTAA